TTTCCAGTAATGTGATATCTGCCGAGGAAACTGTCCATCTGGTCGACGTCTCCCACATGGGAATTATAGTCTTTTATAACATGAGGGGAATTCATGTGCACTTTCTACTTATTGACCTTATCGTACCTTGAAATAGCAGAAACGGGCTGTTTCTGTATAGCGTATAAATTATTTTGTTTCGAAATTTTGTCTCTCAGTTCATAAGTAAAAAAAAAAATCCAGAAAATTCATTATGTTTTAATTGACAATGAACTTCTTTCGCCTCATTCGCCTCATCATGATTATTTACTGAAAATAATTATGGATCATGGACCATCATTATTTTCAGAAATATTGTTACCATGCTCTACAAACGGAGGGTCACTATTGGCCAGATCTTCTTAATCCAAGTCTACGTTGTTCGCGTCAGTGTCGCTCTCATATTCATCTTCTAAATCCGCTTGGAATTGTTGCTTGTTGTTAACCGTTTAGGCGCGATTGATACAATTCGCGATTAGTCCGATCGTGAAAAAATAACAAATTCGCGATTAGTCCAATTCACTGTGGGGCCAATTCGCTATTGGTCCAAAATAAAAGGATATCCAAAATGAAACAAAGGAGGTCAGTTATTTGTATGGATTTTAATTATTATATATTATTATAACTTGAAGTATTTTTCCCCTGTGGCAACACTAGCGTAAACAGCTATTATTGTTATATCTTACTTTTTAGTTTTTGTTTTATTAATATTTATGTTACTTATGGCTAATTTCTAAAGAATCACGTAATATTTGTGTAATTGAATTATAAATATTGTTTTTGTGAACATCAGTGTATCGTAATAAAACTTGTTTTTACGTAAGTACAAATCTGTATCAACCGGTGAATGACGTCACCCTTTTTAAAATTGTTAATCGTTGTTGTTCCTCTTGTATGATTTCTTTTGTTTTTTTTCTCTCGTCTATTAATGCATCACGAATAATATTTACAGGCTAAGTTACATTTTAGCCAAAAAGTGTTGAGTTTTTCTTCAGATAACCTCACACTAGTTGATCGAACGACTTCTTGGACTATTGCTTTATACTTTAAATAGTATTAACCTAAAATGATGACACGTAAGGCCTTAGCTCGTCAAGAGGAATCAAAATTTCAAATTACTTTACAGGAATTAAAGGCCACCAAGGAGTTGGTTGAGCAATTACTTAGGGAGAGGGAGGACAATGAAAAAGAGTTATTGGATGTGCTAGAAAAGAATAAGCAATGTAAAAAAGAATTGTCTGAATTGCATTGTAATTATTTAATAATAACTGAGGAGAAAGATAGATTACAATTAGTAATAGAAGGGTTCGACCAATGCAGAAGTGAGTATGAGAAGGCCCTTAGGCTCATTTCTGGATTGCCCTTAGGCTCATATTTACCCGAAAAACTAAAAATGATTGGTACATTAACTCCAACAATATTAAATTGAAATATTTTTTGTCAAATAAATTGTCGCAAGAAATAATGCCCTTTTGGTTGTTCCTTTTCGTTGGCTATGGCAATGTCGCCGGTACATATTCTTATTAAATCGTGAGTAACCTCGCAGTTGTTTGCTTTTTCCAAAATAATCCATCAGATAATCGTAAGTATATATTTTTTTAATGTATCAAATAAATTGCTTATCTTAATTATAACATGATCTATTACAATAACGAAACGCGAAATCAAAATCTGAAGAATTGAAGGTAGTTTGTAAAAAAATGTCATTTGATTCCATATTGACACAAATGACACACATTATATATATATATATATTTTTGTGTGTGGTGAGATTAGCATTAGTCGAACAATACAAATGTTCACGACTAACTGTGCTCTAATATGTAAATAGCTTTTGACACCAGGTTTCTTATACTCTTTGATTTTATATAACTATACTTTTGGAATACTATATATATTTGTATGTATTAAAATAAATTGAAATAATATTATTAAATGTCAGTGTACTAAAAACAAACGGTTGTATCATTTACAATGAATGTAAATTCAAAATGGACGAAACAAGCGAAAGCGAAAATGAGCGAGATAACGACACATTGCTTTACAATGGCTACCGATACAACCTGAATATAAAGAATAAAAATGGAAGTTCGCTGTGGAGATGTTATAAAAAAAAACATTATGTAGTGCTTCTGTTACAATAGATGTGACAAGGAAAACTATTTTAAGGAAATTTAAAGCAATGCACACATGCGAGTCATCGGATCGTACTTGGAATGAACAAGTGAAATTATTGACATCATTAAAACAAGCTTTATGCGGAGATTTAGGTCCGGTGCAAAATATTTTCGAGGAGAAAAGCATCTAAATCCTAAAGATGTCCCCAAATTTAAGTCGGTTAAAGATAAACTATACAGAAGTCGAAAGAAATATTAGAAAATATGTTTTAATCACTTAAAACTGTTGAATGATGACGCTATTACATATACTTATGTATGTACTTAGATACCTACATTATGTTTATACTTTTTTAAAGAATTCTAATAAAGTGCTTTGACGGCTAGTTTTTAGCGACATTGTAAACGCTTTATCCCTTAATTTACGCAAAAGAATTTTTTCTGATATAGAAATGTCGATTTCATCTGCCCATTCTAAGCAGGTGTTTAAGGCAGACACAACTTGAGCATGTGAAACCTTTGCCGCTGGTTCAGATGCCTCCAACTCTTCATCATTTTCGCTGTCATGCTCATTTGTTATTTGTCTCACTATGTCCTCATCAGTCAAGGGCTCTTGACAATCAATATCATCATTGTTTACCAAGAAATTATTAATGTCTGATTCTGAGAAGCCTCTGTTATAAAAAATGCTTAATGGTAAGTCATCTTCAGGATCAAAATCTCCCTCTTCTTGGCTAGAAATGTCCTCCGATTCGAATAACAAGGGCCATAAAGGTTTCCAGGATTTTTTAATAAGATGTGGAGACAATTGCTGCTAACACTGAGCAAGTGAAAATACAGCATCTTTCATTGTAGTTTTTTTAAGGACTTCAGATACTGTGCATTCTGGATCTGCTTCTTGCTGGCCAAAAACTTGCAACAGAAGTTTTTTCTTGTAATTTATTTTAATGTTCTGAATTACATTTTGGTCCATGGGTTGTATGAGGGCTGTGCAATTGGGTGGCATGTACATAACAGTGAAATTTTCGTCAATTGCAAACTGCAGATCTTCTTCAAGTGGATGAGCTGGTGCATTATCAAGCAATAAAAGTCCTTTTAGTGGTAAGTTCTTTTTTGACAAAAATTTCTTTACTTCGGGAACAAAATGTTCCTTCAGCCACTCTAAAAATATTAGTTTTGTGACCCAAGCATTTCTCTGTCCTGTGTAACGAACTGGTAACTTTTTGACTGTTGAAAAAGCACGTGGTTTCTGTGCTTTCCCTACAACAAGCAAGGGCAGCTTGTGCGTTCCGCTTGCGTTCGCGCATGGCATAAATGTAATCCTCTCCTTTGATATTTTGCCACCTGGGGCACTAGTTTTCGATCCAGCCGCTAGGGTTTTGTCTGGTATGGTTTTCCAGTACAAGCCTGACTCATCAGCGTTATAGATTTGGTCAGCAGACAAATCCTTTTCCCTTATAACTTCTAAGAACTTCTCCTGGAATGGCTGCACTGCCGCTTCGTTGTTTGTCAATTTTTCACCGTTTACTTTAAGCTGTCGTATACCATGTCTTTTCTTAAAATTGTCCAACCATCCTCTGCTAGCAACGAAGGCTCCTCTTCCAAGTCTTTCGTGGAAAAAATTTGCTTTTTCCATTAGGATTTCACCTGTCAAAGGGACATTTTTTCTTCGCTGCTCTAAGAACCATGTAAATAACGCATCCTCTAGCTGAGGATTTTCCGGAGATTTTAATGTTTTTCTTGCACCCGGACCCTTTTCTGTATTTTAAGTCATGACAGCACAAAAGAATTGAAATTACCAGAAGCATTTACAAACAATTTTTTGTTAATTAAAGATAGTGGTGAAGCCGAGGAAAAAATTCTTATATTTAGGACGAGGGTAAGCAAAAATATTGCTAAAAATCATGCAATTTATTTTGCGGATGGTACTTTTAAGTCAGTACCAAAACCGTTTTATCAACTTTATACGATTCATTTGGATTTGAACTCCACCAAAACAACGACAAACATTGTTCCTGTTTTTAATATACTGTTGCCCAATAAAACAGAGCCATCTTATCTGCGAGTTTTCACATTATTAAAAGAAGAATTAGGCATCAATATAAGAACTTTTAAATGCGATTATGAAAAAGCGCAAATGAACGCCGTTGCTGAAGTGTTCCCTCATACAAAAGTAAGTGGATGCTACCATCACTACAATGACGCTATTTCGAGGTATTCAAAGAAGATAAAATTAAATACAATAAAAGAGGGTCGTAATGTAACTCGAAAGACCAGTAATTCCATTATTTCCAGCTAGTCACATTCCAGAAGCGTGGAGGCATGTTCTAGAAAATGCTCCAGACAGCGACGAAAAAATTAACAAATTTCGTAAGTACTTCGAAAAGAAATGGTACCCACAACTTTCACCTACCATTCTAAGTTGCGCACATCAGCACCACCGAACGACTAACGCTTTGGAGGGCTGGCATTCCCGGTTAAAACGGCGCATTCCCAAAAAACCTAATTTATTTCTATTTCTTCATAAACTGCGAAGAGAGAGCAAGTATCAGGATACCCGAATAACGCAAAGTTTGTTTAAAAATACAAAAAACAAAGGGAGAAAACGCGATATTTTATTTGACAAAAAATATGAACAGTTACTAAACCAATATGAAAATGGAACATTGACAACAAACAATTTTTTTTTACAAAGTTATATACTTACGTTTATCGTTATTTAAAAATTAGTAAAACAATGTTTATAATATTAGTTATAATAATGTATAATAATTAAAATCCATACAAATAAATTACCTCCTTTGTTTCATTTTGGATATCCTTTTATTTTGGACCAATAGCGAATTGGCCCAACAGCGAATTGGACTAATCGCGAATTTGTAATTTTTTCACGATTGGACCAATCGCGCCTAAACGGTTGTTAACATAGCAGGTTTCTTCATCTACTTTCTCGACTTCAGAAGGTTCCATCTCATCTTCAGAGTGTTCTAGAGTCTGCAGGTAAGCCTTGATAATTTTATCATTCACCGGTCGCGACATTCTAAAAACAAATATACATAATTATTAAAAAAAGTACAAAATAATAGTGTACTCATCAAACAGCTTTGGTCAGATTTTTGTTAGCAGCGCAACGTAGAAGATTTGCGACAAACAAATTTTGATGAAAGTATAAAAGACAGCAATTTTTGTTATATTATCATCAAAATCGGTTTGTTATATTAAAATAATTTAGTTTTGTTTTGATAGCATAATCATGTTTCTAAAAACAAAAATACAAATAACACTTACTAATAAACATTTTCACAAAACTTTAAATAATTCAATTAATTTTTCACTTTTTAAGCGATGATAATTGATAAATTTTGAAGAGCGTATTTTAAACTCTTTTTTATTCAGCTCCACCCGGTTTGGGTATCAGTCATGTCAGATATAAAAGGTAAGGAAACAGGAAAGCAACTCGGATATTAATAGAACTTAGGATTTGGATAGTAGGAAAGGATAAAGGATAATAAATTGACGTAATATATACAATATTTATATTTTATGTTATTTTACGTTATAAAACATGCTAAGGAGTGTTTTGTATGTTTAATATACGTATGTTTGTTTGTGCGGGTATTTGTGTGCGTGTGTCTGTATAGATTCATATACAATATAAATGGTACTAAAATGAATAAAGCACATTACATAAATTGGCAGGATCAATGGGAGAATCACTGATAAATCATTAAATTTTTAAACGAATACATTTATAAAATTGTGTATAAAATCTACACTTATATTCCGGATGTTGGAGGCCTGAGCGCTTAGTGTAAGTTTTTTTGACGTTTACGTTCACTGTCGATCGTGAGCGCGTTAAGATTTTTGTATGGAATCCGGCACAGCGCCCCTAGCGGTAACTACCAAGAAGTACAAATCTCCATACAAATTGTTGACGCGCTCACTAGTGAACGCTTTAGCGTAAAACTTACACTTACCACTCTGATGACCTGTAAAACGGGTTTTGCACTCAACTGCAGGCACCAGTCTCCACGATAAATTCTGATGTCCCTGATACGCTCTACACTTTTGTACATTTTTTGATATTGTGGAGAAAAATAAAGAAATATTATGATTATTTTTATTCAATTTATTAATTTTGCTTTCACTGTCGCATTGGGCTATATCTGTAATGATAGTTATAAGTTATGAAATAAATATAGTAAGTACATAAAAGAAATAATATGCAGGTAAAAAAAGGAATGTGATAATAAGGAGTCATAAAAGGAGGAATGATCATATAAAGGACAAGAGAAAAATATATGTTTGATATCTCTCACTCCGAAACCACACTTACACAAATCGCTATCAAGAATTTGCAGTTTTTTTTTTAAATGGGTAGGCTTATAAGTATGACCCAGCCTCATGCTTTTTATTATTGAGGTAGGAACTTTATTATATTAAACCATGGTTTGCACGAGATATTTGCTGAATATACTTATAAAATGTTCCTTAACATTTCTTAATTGCCAATTTTCTTGCCACGATAATTCAAAAGAAACTTAAGCCTGAGCAATTAAATCTGACATTAGTTTTTATATGGAAACAGATCCCCAGAATTAATCGCATCTTTGGCTAGGTAATCGGATTTTCATTACCTGGAATATTACAATGACCAGGCACCCAAACGTTAAAAAGTTACATTAAAACCCTTAGAGCAGCATTTCAGTAAAAAAGAGCAACAATCTCAAATAATTTGATAGTATACATTGCTTTTTAACGGATATTTTTGTAAAGTTTCAAGAGCACTTTTAGAATCCGAAATTATCAAAGCCGTTTTTCATTCATATTCAATCATTACTAAAATATATTCAAGTGATTTATATAAGCCATAACATTCACCAATAAAAACTGATGTCTCTGGTGGCAATTTAACTTTTTCTGCAACACCAACGGTATTTGTTACAGTCATTCCATATTTCAAGTAAAATGAAGTTAAAATTATGCTTTGAAGTCCAACTATAGTTTTGAAAATCTCAAAAGGGAATCAGCACAATAAAGCATTAATAGGACTTGATTTCATGGCACGAGTGACAATATGAAGGGCCTTAGATTGTACAATATCAAGTTTCTTTAATGCAAGTACTAATATATGCAAGTAATAGTTTTTGACTTTTAGTACACTTCTTTCCCATCGCAGGACATTTTTCTCATTTGGCTGTATGCTGTGACCACATCACTTACATTTGATCACTCTTTCTACCAACATTTTACTTTTATTCACTAGATCGACCATCAGTGAGATCGATTCTCTCAACTGAATTTCTTGGACTTGCTTCCTGTCTAATTCTGCAACTCTTAACTTTTTTATTACCTCATCTAAAGATAATTCTTCTTCTACTAATGATTTACACTGACATTTTGTATCTGAAGTCCCCAATACTAATTTGTCACGGAGTGACTCTTCGTGACTTTTAAAACTGCTATCTTTTAGCAATTTTGTCACCGTTATTTAGAATTTGTCACTAGGTTCACCCTTTATTTGTTGTATTTTATAAAACAAGTATCGACTGTACATCCTTCTTGGATTGACAACACTTATCCAGTTCCTTTAATACATTTCCAAATGAGTCTTCTTCTTTTTAAAATTAAAATTATTGTACATTCTTAAACCTTCCTCGCCCACAAAATGTAGAAATATGGCGAGTTTCTTCTTATTAGATTTTCTTTTGAAACAGCAACTACTAAATAGATGTCGAGGGCATGCTTGGAAACTCGCTAGTTCTCTGCTAAGTTACCTGACAAAATCAATTTTTCCGGGAAATTGCACTGCATCATTTTGAAAACTGCGACATGTTTACAACTATCATAGAAACGTTTCTTTTAGAAAAGAAAGTTTAATTAGCTCACTAGAAATTTACAGTTCTAAATAGAATGAGAGCCGAAACAGAACTTGCATTGTTGTTTAGAAAATAAGTAAAAAATACTTTAGTGCACCAAAACAAATAAATGAACATACCTATTATGTCAGCTGTTGAGTAAGTCGATCTTTGTCGAATTATAATGCTGAAAGGTCATATGATTCTTTATTCAAAATCAAATTATTGTTTATTATTATCATTGTCTAGTAACACAGAGTGCGATTGAACAAGTCTCAATCATTCATCTGCCATATCTCAAGCCAATGGGTATAACTTTCAACACAGGTCCTTTCAGACCAGTGGTGTCAAATAATTTAAATTACTGTAAAACAATAATGTTTTCTGACTGACTAGGACAGGGACTGGTGTTAACAATTAAAAGTAAGTGTAAACGAAGCTTTATAAACATTCATGCCCTATCCAAACTAGTAGAAATAATTAAAGATGTTCCAACAAGGTAGAACTCTACTTACGATATGCTTGCAAGAATATTATCCACGAAGGAAGCAGTGATAGCTACTGTCGCTATCTTACGTAGTGATCTCTCAATGTCAAATTATGATTGGGAGATCATAGAAGCGGCAGTACCTATCTTACAGCTTATTTTTTCAAATAACACAGGACATCAGTGCGGAGATAAACGTTACCCTGTCAGAAGTAAACCCTTTATCAAAAATTATATCAAGCCATGTAAAAATATACTAACATCAAGGGACTACGTTACTGGAAATAACTGCTCTCTTACTTAGTGTGTAGTGTGTAGTACATACATTGGGACATGAGTTCAACCGCTACTTAAGTAATATAGAATCTATAGTAATATACGCTGAGGCCACCATTTTTAAATCAAAAAAGCTGTATAAAACTTAAAATAAAATGTGGAAAGGGTGTCACTGCCACAAAAACTGCCTGATCCTGTTCCAGCAACATCCAGTAATGTCTTCGATATGGCACTAATTCGATCAGGAAGTTGCGTTATTGAAGCCCGTAAACTCCACTGCTGCTGGTATCATCGAAGTCGATAAATAAGTATCTACAAGAGTTGGTGCGAACTGAAGATCCTCTTACCTGGTGGTATGAACAACAATATGTTTACCTGCATTTGTTCAAATACGTTCTAAGAGGCTAATCTCGTGGCTAGGCTGGGCATATCTTAAATGAGAGACGAACTCGATTAGCTGTAAAAAACTATCATGATTATTTTTCATCAGCTACAATTCAGACTAAGCTTCAATAAATAAATATCAGTTATCCATGTTATTTGATAAATGATTATTTAGGAGTAAGATCCCAGAGCCCCCAGACCTACATCATTTTAGCAAAGCTGAAATTTTGAGGTTTATTTGTCTAATATGTGGTAAAGAAAGTATGCTTCACGGGTAGCGGGAACTAAAGGTACATAAAAATGTTACTTATCTACGTTAAAATAGAAACGCTCATAATTAAATTAAGAATATTGTCAAAAAATAATATTCATTATTGCCAGACTCTTTCCGTGTGCCTTTACTTTCGCTAGACGCCTTAAAAGTTATTTAAAAATGAGGTAAACTACGTTATACTAGCAAGCCTAAATTTCACATACATTATTTTAAGTACTATTCTAAGACCCTTTGTAAGCCGCTAGAGTCTAGCGGCTAGACCAATCCGATGGGCCAATTACCCTCCCAGACGTGATAAAACTTTCTAATATACGGTACGATTTGTCTGTACGATCCGTCGCTTCAGACCGATCGAAACGACGAATCGATAGTGTATATCAAGATCGTTAACGATTTACTTCATCGTAGACGATATCGGAAATCGCAACGAAAACCTATGCAATCATGAATTTCGTAACGATGAATCGACAGAGTGTGGCTCTTTACGATCAACGATTCGATTTTGTCTCACTCCGACGCCGGTCGCCGCACGCACCGCACGCCTTGGCTAACGCGTTACGTCCTCTCACCTACCTATACTCGATGAACGAAACAAACAAAATGGCTACATGGAGTAATGATGATTTGATTGAATTTATTGAATTATTTAGAGAGCAAGAGCCTTTATGGAAAACAAAACAAAGATTATCATAACAATGTAAAGAGGACAGCGTGTTATGAAGTACTTTTGGAAAAAATGAGAAAAATTGACAGTACTGCAG